TAATTGTGAAATAAATCGGGATTCGAATTTGTGTTGGTGCTACTAGGGGAGACCGGAACAAAGTGAACTTTCGAGAAAATTCTCTCGCGCGACGTCCGTCAAGACTCTAGAAGTTTCTAGAAGAAAATTTTATGCCGACTACCACAAGAGCGCAAACAGCCAACATGGAGGAACAACTGACCAAAATGATGAAAATGTTGAGCGAAAATCAAAGAATAATGGAAGAAAATAGAAAAGAAGATCGAAGAATAATGGAAGAAAATCAAAGAATAATGGAAGAAAATAGAAAAGAAGATCGAAGAATAATGGAAGACAATCGAAGAATAATGGAAGAAAATCAAAGAATAATGGAAGAAAGTAGAAAAGAAGATCGAAGAATAATGGAAGAAAATCTAAAAGCTATGCAAACTACACTTTTGAACAGCCGAAGTGAAATCCTCCAAGTCATGCGAAATGAAGTGGACGAGGTGAGAAATGAAATGGAAAACAAGATCAAGGAGCTCGAAGAAAGGTTGCAAACACCACGACCTACAATTACGACCCCTGCAACGCCCGATTTATTATTCGCCCGTCAATCGTAACAGTATTTATTTGTTTGATTATACTTTGTCCATAATTAGCTAAAACTGAATACGTAAGTTGAAATAGACATACAAATTTGCTGAGAATGTTCTTTTTTTAATTTTATACGCAAGACTAATCGTTGATTATATTTTTATCGCCTGCACTTCAAGTTAAAAATTATTTCGCAATTTTTCGATTACACCAATTTGTGATACGTCAAGTATACCCCGATCTGTTTTGAAAAATAATTATTAACGTGCATTTGTTTTTGTGTACGTCATTCAACTTTTTTTTAATCACTTTCTATCAACCCACTTTTTAGAGATTCTTGCAAATATCTTTCTTCTGAATTCATTATGTATCATAATGTAATATTTTCAGGCATGAATAATGTTCGCAATAAAATTTTATATTGAATTATTTTCGTGTGGAAGAAATTTAATTTTCAAAATGAAATATTTCTGTACATTAACAGAAAAGTTACCAAAAATTTTCAAACTTGGTATCAAAAATGTTAGTATAAAGCAACTACATTTTTAGACGTAAATAATTGCGTCAATAAATTCATCGTTATACAGCTGCGTTTTCAGAAAAAAATTTACAAGGATCTCTAAAAATATACAGGTTGTATTTAAAAATGTTTTCTTACTTTTCTGTCACTCCGGACAGAAATCTTGTCTGATCTTTACGTCACATCAGTTGTGCCATTGTTTAACTACAAATTACTGTCTCTGGAAGTTCTGCGAGGACTTAACAATCTGTGTGTAATCATTTAAATATTTTTGAGAACTACCTACCTGGAAGGTCGGATCGAGAAAGATTATTATGCAAAACCTATACCTATGATGTTTCTAATAACCAGGCATGGGTTATCAACATTGTGGTTCTAATTAAAATTTATTTACATTGACCTATACGTAACTCATTGTTTAGTAAAAAAAAATTCTCATTTGGTCAATCTGATTATGAGTACCTAATAAAAAAACTGACACCTTAAACCTTCTTCGCTTACTTAATAAGTCGTCGTCTTAGGGATGTTAGGGGCTTTATCTTCTAGAAGGTCTAACTAGTGTGGCGCCTCGACGTTATTTACTAAGAAAGTTTAACCTTCCGTAAAATTGTAAGAGTGGTACGTGTCAAAATTTGCAATTAGTGTCATTGCTTTACAGAAATCCGTCCATATCCCTCTGAAAAATTAGTTTTAGTTAATGCTTTACGAAATTCAGACATTTCTTTTTTCACATTCCACCATCAACCCGTAGTGTTTTTTATTTGTATGAATACATATTTGCTTGTTTGTGAAAATATCCCTTTACGGTTCATGTATATACGTATTTTTAGAGGATACATCAACAGTATTTCTATTTTCGGATAATGAAGACGATGCGAATAGTAATTTAGATATGTGATATCTAAACAATCTAAAGTGTTAAACTTACACTTAGTTCTAACTTTGAAAATTCGGATACAAGTATGAATGCCTAATTCGATTCGTGGTGATTCCAAGTAAGTTTTAACAAAAATTTGATATTTTATTGATTTTCTTTTTTGTCAGATAATTGTCTATTCCAACGAGGACTGATTTGAGTAAGAAGTTTATATGCAAATTTTGACCACATAGTAGTTGTGTACTGGATTATGAGATACACTTTTGGTTTCCATGGACACAAAATTTACCTAAGTCATCTGAACGTTGATATTTTCGCAAATGAAGGTAATAGAAAATTATTTCAATTATTATTACAAAACATTAGTCATTATCATTACTAAGATATGTTACAATTACCCGCTGATTGAGTCCAACATTCATCTCAAACCAACTGGTGGTACATGTGTGCGTGCAATCCGGAACAGACGATTTATAAAACTAGTCCCTATTAAAATTAGACGTTAACGTAATAATCAAATTATTAGCTAAAGCGCTAGTATTTAGTCACTGAAAATGTCTCGTTCCACTCGATGATATGTGTATACAACCGTGATACACATTAAAATCAAAATAAAATTGTTGGATTAATCTTGAATTTCACCTTTAACCCACCTGCAACATCGTCCATATGATGGTGTTCTTTATGTGTGCAAATAGTATCTCGGTAGCAAAAACAAGCCATTTGACGTGATTGGTACAGTTTTAGAACACCTTGCTAAAATGAAAAGAATTCTACTATATGGGTATGGATACAATCCGCAATACATTAATTTATGATATTAATTTATAATTAATTTATATCCGAATATACAAGAAGAAGAGTTAGCCTTACTTTTATAGTTTATGAGATTCATCAATTCGGTTAAAATCACACTTCTTTTTATTTTTGATGATGATATAGGAAGTTGATATCGATTTTGAATAGTTAGTTAATTACAGGTACTTGAGATGCAAATTATTAACCGAATTATGGTGATTATTAAAATTCAACAGCTTAAAACAAATGATGATATACCGGGTGTCTGGAAAATGGCTGATTAACTCTCCGCTACGCTCTTAACAATCAACTGGTGAGTCTGGGAAAAATAGTAAAAAAAATCCTTCTCACATTTTGGTGGAGTTATAATGATTTTAAAATTGGTTCTTTCGCTACGTTTAACAACTAAACAGCTCATTTATCATCACAATAACTAGTAATAAAACTTTTAGTTAATATTTTTCTCGCCCATGACCATGTTTAATTACCATTTCATTTAGATTGCACAAAGATATGGCTGTATTGTTTTTGTAATAATTTGATAAAATTCCATTTGACAATAATGTTTGCCTGATATAAAGCGAAGGTGGATTTCAGTTACTATCGTTACTAAGAAACCAGAAAGTAAGCCGGACGTATTCATGCATTAGGGGTGTGCAGTGTTGCTAATTTTACTTTTATAAAATTACGTTTTTTTCGTAATGTACATCATAAAGAATTTTTTTATTATTTTTTTGGGACTCCCGAAACGCCCGTGTATAACGTACTGAAGAGTTAATCCGCCATTTTCCAGGCAGGCGGTATAACATGTATGTATGCAGTCTGAATACGCGAATTTACTATTTAATAAACTATACTCGAGTATATAAGAGAAAAAGAAATAGTCTTATGATGAACAAATTGCTAATTTCGTTATCAAAATTATTAAATTAATTAAATAATTTATCAGAATTTCACAACTTCAACCCTTAACGATACATAATATGCATGTGTGCATGCAATCGGCATTACACGGTCATAAACTATACTGGAGCATATGAGAGGAAAAAGATAGCCATATGAAGTGCAAAGTATTCATTTCGTTAACAAAATTATTAAATTAAAGAAAGTGGAGAATAATTAGTGGTGATGTTACCAACCTATCAATTAAAACGGTGTTAATGGAGTGTGAATCATGAGTATTTATCAAAATTCACCAGCTCAAAGCAATTGCTGATATATATTATGTGTATGTATGCAGTTTGCAATACGCAAACTTACTATTTAATTAACCATACCCGAGCAGGTAAGAAAAAGAAGAAAAAGAGGAGATAGCCCTATGATGTATAAATTACTCATTTCGTTATCAAAATGTTTAAATTAATTAAAGTAATCAAATCAAATTCAGCAATTCAAACCAATTGATGATATATAATGTGCATGCAATCCGCAATACACGAAATTACGGTTTAATAAACTATACCCGCGCACATAAGAGGAAAAGAAGTAGGTCTATGGTGTCCATGTTAGTCGTTTCGTTATCAAAATTATTAAATTAATTAAAATAATTATCGACTTCATAATCAGAATTATTATAATTGAGGATACATGTAATGTGCGTGTATGGATGTAACCCTCAATACACAACTAATCGAAGGCGCTGCAATTTCGTACATTTTCTGATGGAGCTGTGATAACAACCGGATGCACTTAAGAAAACACAAACCAATATCCGGTGATAAGGTGATAGGGTGCTGATAACACCCCCGCTGCACTTTTGGACCCGCTGCACTTTCGGCGCAAAAACCACTAATTCCACGCCTTTACTACTGTTGTGTATTAGTTTTCTGTGGGAAAATTCAAAATCCGACAACAATTGTACAATTTCTCTTAGAAATTCCATCGATTAATTTTTTAAATGATAAACTACTTTTTTGACTAATTAAGTAAAAAACAAGTAATTTCATTTTCCTGAAATTTTTTGAACATAGGACTATTGTTTACTGTACTGCGTTGTACCCTTCCAAATTTATATAAGTTTTTGTCCCTACTTAAAAGTTGATGACCATAGAACTTTGACAAAATTGTATTTCTTTATTCGCTTCAAATGAGTGATGACGTAATCTCAAAAAAAACATGAAATAAATGTTTATTAAAAGATATGCGTTTTGGTTTTCTTAATAAACTCTTCCATAATGTGAATGACAATTTTTTTCTCCAAATGTATTCAACCACTCGTTCATTATTTCTAAAACTGCCTTGTCATTTCAGACTTCGAAAACATGACCATGTTCGAAATAAGTGCCCTTTCCTGGACCCACATCTCCCTCTCCCTCGAGCACCCGGTCGAAGAAAGCATGGCCACCGCCGAAATCGACCTAACCGACATTTCGAACCTCGTCTGCAAGATCCGCAGTCCGGGAACCCCGCCTCCGGCGAACGCTCCCGACGCCACGTCCGATCTCAGCACGAAGATCCTAAACCGGTGCTTCTCCATCCCGGTGACGATGCGCGCTGTGATCAAACTATGGGAGAAGCAAGCTGCCAAACGCCATTACAACGGGCACGAAAATTTTAGTTTACCCCTCGGTTCCGGCGACCCTGGGGGTCACAAGGGGGCCCCAGGTGGAGGATTGACGGAATTCGGGGGGTTAGACAAGATCAAGCAAGAACCCCCTGGTAACGGCGGCCACGGCATGATGATGCAGGGACATCAAGGGATGTTCCTCAACGAGTCGATGATGGCCAACGCGAATTTCCAGAATTTTCAGACGAGCGACGGCATGCTGAGCAGCATAGAGTTGACGAACATTCTGTCGGGGAACGGACAGGAGAAGATGAAGCGGCCGCATAAGAGGAAGTCGGACGATTTGTGGAAGAACAAGAGGAAGCTGGGCGAGGCGACGGACGCGGAGATGCTGGTGGAGACGTCGAGCAGCGACTCGACGTCGAGGAGCACGCCGATATCGCAAGAGAACGAGATCCCGACGCCGAATTCGGGGTTGGGGTTTCAATCGGATTTGGAACTGATGAGTGGTTTGGATCCGGCTGAGTTGCTGGCCGACTCAGATAAGGTAAGCCGAAGAAATTATTACTTCCTGAGCGTAAGCTAGTCCGGACGACTTGCCACTTTCATGTTTTTTCGACGTTTCATGACCTCAAGTGATCTCCCGTTTCCGTCTGTTTGTCTGTCTGGCGTCTGTGTCGATTTTTATTTGACACGTAATCTGCGAAAGTACTGGACCGATTGTTGTCAAATTTTGTATGTATATTAGGCATATCATCTAGATGATAAACGGCTAACCAAAATTTGACTAATCATCCACACCACCAATGGGATAACATCATCTCCAAATCTACAAGAACGGTTCACACTGTTTTCCCGAAAATTTGGAAATGCAGTACTGTTACTTTTAGTATTACATTACATCTATTCAAATTGATATTCATGTCCTTGCAAAAAAGTTGATGACGTCATCAAAAAATTTTGTAATGGAAAAACTCACTTGAAATGAAGGCGTAGCACACTCTTTTACATTTACTTTAACATTACATCCCCATATCTTTATTTTAACTTAGGATTAACATAAAAAATAAAATTTGCAAACATTTTTCGGTTTTTCGGCGCAAAAACCACTAATTCCACGCCTTTACTACTCACAACGTTAAAAATAAGTTTGGATTAATAAGTAAGTAGTACATATTACAGCCATTTTTTTAAATCTACATATTTATTCAGCAAAATATTAGCATGACGTCGTTACGTTTTTAGTGGGGATGAATAAACAAATTTTGATAAAGTTTTTTTTTATTTAAATAGTATCCCCAAAACTTGGCTATTGTTTGTTAAAAAATCACCGACATACAGCTTGACAAACAGCCGCAATTGAGAATTTTTATTTTATTTTAAAATTTTAAAGAAAAGAATTGCTCAACAACTGCTTAAAGGCGAAATCAGTTACAGATTATTAAAACATTTTAACTGATCGTTTACGAAAGCATATTATTCAGAGATAAATAAAAGTGTTGTCCTCCTCCTTGATAACAACTCCAATAATTTCCTTATCAGAAAGAATTCTACAAAAATAAAGCGATTTTCACAATTCTACAGATATTTTCTCGTAGACAAACAAATCTAATCACCGATAAAATAAATTGATCTATATTTTTGCACATCATAAAATGGCAAAAAACGAAGAACCTGAACAAACGATCCCCATTAGAAAATCCTCAAAAGTTTCTGATGATATGTGTCTTTTTTATTTAACAGAGACTTTTTCCGACATACTGTTAACATCAGTTTTTTAAACAAACTTTTAATTTTTGATTGGGTATCAGATGCAAATATTTTAAGGCAAAACCCAAAACAAATAAAAATGTTTACGTTTTTCTTTTATAATAACGTTGTTATTATTGCTTTGGTTAGAAAAGTTTAAAACAAATCTACGACTAACACTACGATTTAAGCATCATTGTAGGATGTTTGGTAATTCCCTCATCAGAAGAACTCCTATTCTAGCTGTCACATAAATATTCTGTAAGTTCAAATTGCTAAAATATGATCATCGAAAAAAATGGTTTCTATCGTAAACATGTGGAACGTCCGTTCCGATTTGATTTGGCATCGTACAAAACTCCTAAGTAACGAACTTATGAATGTTATAGGGGAGAATTCTCGACGGTGTTGTCAATTATCCAAAAACGTACCAATTTCTGAAGAAGTTGATACATGAATCTTACACAAATTATCATAAAGCTTTTATTATTCCGCTCTTATTCGTGTTAAAATTTGATTTTTATATATTAAAATATCATAGTAAATCGAATTAATATTTGAGTTTTCATAATTTTAAAATTGCGTTTTTTGGTTATATCACATCATATACAAACTATGTAAAATTTTGTCTTTTCGGTAATATATATATATATATACCTATATGCCTTGATTTCGGGGAAAAAATTCAACACGATTTAGGGGTGTAATGATCAGTACAAAAAATTTGAGGCTAGTTACTACCGTAAGTCCTTTGCTCGAAGTTCACTCTTTCAAAACTGGAAGTATAATATATCATTAGACATAAAAAAAATTAAAGCACTACTACGATTTTCTGTTTAAGTATCGGCGTTAATTATTTAAACGTTTAATTTAATTCACATTTTTTTGTTTTTAGATCAGCCGTATATAATTTCACGTATGAAGATATTGTTACGATTTATAAAATTATAAAAACTTCAATGGATGACGTTAAATATGAAACTATTAAAAACAGAAAATATGCTCGCTATAGTGATTGCCAACATCTAAACTTTAAAGAAAAATAAGTAAGTTTCATCAGCACTGAAGGTTGACCATGCAGTTATAAGTATATTAATTACCAAAAACACCGATTCAATTGCATTTTCTACATATATATTTCTTTTCAACAGGTCAAGCAAGATTTTAGAAATTTTCTGAAAGATTTGCAATATTTCGACGTTAGATATTGGTTCTTTTACAGTAATAATAAACGATTATGTAAGAAGCATAGGTATAGTAAATAATAGTGGGAATTTTTTAAATAATTAATTTAAGTTCTCAAAACGAGGTTATCAGCTGTGAATTTATCATCATAGTAACTAGTAAAATAAACTGTAAAATTAAAAACTGTACATTTCTAGCGCTACAGCAACGGATAACTATTTACGGGCCCGTTGTATAAATTTTAAAATTAAGTAAAACTTTTAATAAACTATGAAATAACAACATAATTTTTGGAGATTAATTATTGCAACCTATCTTGTTTCTTAAAGACAAGTGGGTAATTACTGAGCATCAGAGACATCATATCGCACTTTATCATAATAAAAATTAAATAATTAAAAGAGTGAGTAAGGATTCAAGATATGGGGTGTACCGAACTATGTCTAATTTTACAACAGTTGAAAAAGATCACGTGTTCTAGTCGATTCAAACATTTCTTTATCGGTTTATCAGTAAGTTAACAAATCTATAGATAAATGTAAGTCATTCCAAAGGCGTAACGGCAAGATTTAAATCTAATCAGTAATCAGAAATCAAGTTGCAATCGCACCAGAAACTTTATTTCAGCCACCGCTAAAATATTTCCTTGTCTTAATATTTTTAGATTTCTACCAACCACAATGGCAAACGAAGCAGAACCCCAACAAAAAATAATTATTACTGATTCTTCGAAAATGTATGAAGATATGTCACCTTACTACTTGAGGGAAACGTTTTCCGACATTCAACTAATCCTACCCGATAAAAAAATTCATGCGCACAAAGTAAGTTTTTTCAGTGGTTTACAAAATGATTAACATAGAATAAATTTTAACTTTCAGATTGTTCTCGCTGCTAGGTGTAAATATTTTGAGTCTCTTTTAATGAAAAACCCAAAAAAACAAGTAAGAGAGTGTTCATGGAAATATTAACATTACTAAATTGTTTTCAGACTTATAAGATTACTTTACGGAATGTGCCTTCCAAAGCTTTTGAAACAATACTGTGTTACATGTATACAGGTAGTCAGCCAAAATTAACTAAATATCTATATTATCCTGTAAAATTTGTTGCAGGATCCATTGCCATCGCATCGGAAGACGAAAATGACATATCCGATATATTGCAGCTAGCACACGAATATTCATTAAAAACACTGGAAAAGAGTATAATCGAAAAAATGAATTCCATTGTGAATTTGTCAAATGTATGTTCCTTTCTAAACAAGGCCAATGCACATGACATGGACGAGTTAAGAGAAATATGTCATACTTTTATTGATAAGCATGTTTCGCAAAAGCTAGAATATGATTTTTTCAATATTCTCACACAAGTAACATCTCCAAAAAGCTAGGTATACTTAAACGTAATGATGCATTTCAGAAATCTATGATTAACTTGTTGAAAAGAGATGCGTTTCCTGTTGAAGAAATTAATGTCTTTAAGATAGTGGCCAACTGGTGCAAAATTAACAAAGACTTATTAAACAAGTTGGTTATTGAATGTATTCGGATATCTACGTTAACGCGAAACGAAATTTTGACTGTTGTTTGGCCGTCTAAAATAGTAGATAAAGCAAAACTGTTGAATGCTCTTGCAGCGATTGAGGTTAACGGTCCGAAAGAAACACAGCGATGCTTTGCTGGACGGTGTAAGTACGAAGACTGATTAAGAGACAAGTCGGAAATATAGATTTGGATATATTTTTAGTGAAAGATAAAAATCTTGCTACAGCAGAATATAATGTTAAAGTAATTTCTGGATTAAATACCGCAATGTTTTTTGAAGAAACTGAAAGGTATGAAGAAGGTGCTTATCACAATGAGGACGATAAAAACGGTATTACTGTAGATCTTGGTGCCGTAAAATGCTTCAATTACATAAAAATGTATGTAATATATGGGTAAGTACCGTTATTTCCGAGTTTGTTTAATGATTTTTTGAGATGATACGTACATATCTGTCGAAGTTCGTGGCCCCGTTACTACATAGAAGTTTCAACAGACCTTGAAAAGTGGCATAATGTTATAGATTACAGCAAATACTATTGTGCGTGCATTCAAAACTTATATTTTGAAGGACAACAGGCTAGGTATATTAGGATAGTCTTAAAGGTACATATTATAATTTTACTAACCTAAGAGCCGGTTTACAGAAGCTCAATTAAATATTTGATTAATGGTAAATTTTTAATGCGGCATTAAAGTACCACGTGACAGACTCTACGTCAATCAGGCGTCACTAAACGCCTCATTAAAAACATAATTAACTTAATCTCAATTAAAATATTCTATAAGCTGGCCCTAAGCAAGATAAAATAACTGTACATCGAGGTGATTGGAATAAGAACGCGGGGAGCATGTCGTATGCTTCCAGTGATACGGTTTTGAGACAAAATCACACAGCAAACATCGTTTACGTTTGGTTTATGGGTTATGCGCACGTGCAAGCAGACCTAGAAATACCGATCGTGTTACTGTACAAACCAGTTATTTTGCTTTATACGTAATGTGTCTTTTTTTAATAAACTCAACATCGTGAGCTGCAAACTTTGTAAATCTGTGATGAAAGTAAACAATCTTGGAGAGACACTTAGTTTTCATAATCATCCCCTTGATGGATGATAAACCAAATTGCTCCGCCGCTGCTTAGCGATACTTTCGAACGTAGGGGCGTGGTTAATAAGTCGAATGCATAGTCGTAAACGGTGTTTAGATTCATAGGGGTCGGTGCCACAAATTTCACCGTATTCCTCCGTTCTTATTCCACCCTCCACGCTGTACATGCAAATATTTTTACTTCCGACAGAAAGACAAAAATATGTGAATCAGACTAGATGCTAAAATTTAGTAGTGATTTCTAATCTTGTCAAGTAGAGAAAGCAAATGGTATGCATGTCGAACCATTCATTTAAAAAAACACGTTTGCTTTATTCCTAAACGATTGTTCTTTTTTTATTAACGAGTAACCATAGATACTGAAACAAATAAAAATAACGTCCAAAGCGCTGTTGCCAACTAAAATGTGAAGACGCCTAAATCAGATTCCAAATTTCACCGAAAAATAACCATTCGTTCAAAAGTGAGATAACAGGTTCAAAATCTATACTTATGTAAAAAATGAAACTTGTATTTGTGTTATGGGGCTCTTTTGAAAATTTTTTCGTTATTTTTATGTTATAAATATGGCATGGATTTTGTGTTACTCAAAATGTTGCACTAATTAAACTCTATTTTTGGAGATAACACTAGTAGAATATATTGACTGTTCACACCATAGATAAAAGTGTTAAAAATTTACTATTACACATTGCCAAGTTTCAAATCTTGACTAACTGTGATCTACAATCTACTCACCACATTAAAAATATAATGCTATGAATTTCTTTGTAGACCGATGGAGCCAGAATTTGTAGATTTCAAGTTTACATGAGCAGTAAGGTTCCTAAAATACATAACCAAATTGTTTGCCCTTTTTCAAACATCATAACTTCCGAAACCTTCATACTATCAAAGTAAGATGTTTACATATTCCATTTTTTCTTATTTCTGGTGAAACTACAGTGAAATCTCTCCGTCACCCCCTATAAGCGGACAACTCTTTTAAGTCGAACATTGTTTGCATAGTCTGAGTACTGACAATATAAAAAAATATATACGTGAACCTCTCATAAACGGACTCTCCTTTGAGTGGACACGGATACCACGCATTTGTGTAAAATAATAGATATATTAGATATCTTCTGAGCGGTAGTTATAGCTGAACGCCCTCTGGTTTTTACATCGATTGGAGCATTTCTTTGAATCACAAATCTGTAGACAAGTGTTTAAGCAATATGCATTAGCTATTTATGCTACTTTTTACTTAAAATTGAGAAAAACGCCGTTAAAATGTTGTATATTAACTCTTAAAGACGTGTCCAAACATATTAAAATGGGGGAAACTAAAACAGTCGGTACTATTACATATGTGGTACTTTTTTTTTAATACTGGCGTAATACTATATTGTGCAACAAGTTTTGAAAAGATCCTTTTTTCACTAGCAGCCTGGACGCATGCAAATGTTGACTCATTTAGTGGTAGCAAATTCAACTTTTGCTACCACCGGTTCAAAAAGAAAAATTGAGGTTATGTACGCAATGTTTGATGTGATTATTTCTTAAAAAATGAACAAATATGTGCTACAAACATTACTTGAGTATACGCATGGTAGTTGGTAGATGGTACAAGATAAAATGATTAACTCAGCGACAAATATAAACGGTTTTCTTTGTGTTGAAGATTTAGATTAAGTTTGATTAGAAATCAAAACAAAATCATGTTGTGTCAAAAAATTGAACGTTTATTTTTCAGTTTATTGTCTTATGGTTTCTACTAGTGAAAAAAATAGTATATTAACCACGGTTGCAAAGCCACTTCTAGACCTCGCACTTAGAACCCTCGACGCTGCGCGTCTCAGGTTCTAATTTGCGCTCGGTATAGAATGCTTGGCTCTGCAACCTTGGCTAATAATATACTATTTCACACGAGTTTGACGTTTAGCAGGCAAAGAAGTGTGAAAAAAGTCAATTTCAAACGTGTTGCACTTTATACTTTTTTTACACTTAAATGATACGCAAAAATTTTCTAAACCAACTCAAGGACGCTATTTCTGTTTGAATGAACGTCCAGTAATTACTTTTATTTTATAGAGAGCGGGCGATTCTGTCCGATTTTAGGTGGTAGAAACTTCAGTTGATGACTAAATAAAACGCCGTTATCATAATTCTCAGCACTGAATCGAAGCGAAGCAACTAATTATTTTGTTTGTTGTTTGGATAATTTCAATAAGTTTGGTTACCTATATCAAAAGTCAATTATGACAAGACTGTGTGAAAAATTTGCACACCATATGTATGTACAGAAAGTATCTTTCAAAGTGAGTTTGTCGTGTGTTTTTCAGCATTTTTGATACAACTGTAGAAAAAACGAATTTATTTGAGTCTAAAAAGATTAAACATTGACAAATTATGTAATGAATGCTTTACAAAAATAGAAAAGAAATTGCTGCATCAGATAACTTAATGCATATGCCAGTATTTTTCCCCAAATATTAGACTTTGAGGACCTGTAATTCAAGCCAAATGAAGAGTTTAGGGTATGGAAATTTCATGCTTCAACTGGTTGGCTTGAAAAATTCGTAAACGCCTTAACATTTATTTTAAGGCTATTTCTGGTGAACCAGCAAGTGTGAACCAAGATGTAGAAACTTTCATAACCAAGAATCCTCAACCTTTGAAAATCTAGTTGCCAAAGACATCTATCACGCAAATGTAACGGGTTTCTTTTTTGTAAATTCTTGCAGTGAAACAAGAAAATTGTGTTAACATGATCAGTAAGATTAAGAATGAGAATAAATGAAATGTGGAACCACTGCCAAACATTACGTGTTAACAGCACTAACTTAGAAGAGTTTTTAACATAGATAACATTTTATTAGTAGTAGATTTGACGAGGCAAATGAGGGACAAGTAGCAAATTATCAACAGTCTATTGATATGGTAAAGGACTTGCTACAATCTGTCAAATATCAAGGAGATTCTAAAGCATTGGAAATATTATTCGCTTGAAATTACACTTTGCAATATTTTATTTAAATCCAACAACCGCCAAACTACATAACTGGATTAGGTATTTTAATAATTAGTTAATTTTACACTGAACTGTTTTCTCTTCATTTTAAGTATTCCAAAAAGTTCATTTTCTTATTAATATAGGCTTACGGGCCAATTTCAAGTTGATTTGCAATTAATTGCAAGCTGCGCTGCTATGGTAACCTCGCAAAAATATAATGGTTTGTATTAAGAGTTCTACGAGATCACCATAGCAACGGCGCTTGCAATTAATTGCAAACCAACTTGAAATTGGCCCGCTCGTTATTACGCTTGTAAAAACGAAATACTTATACAATTAATTTTTTTTCTCATTAACGGACACTCAAATGGGAGGACGGGTTTTGCTCAGTTCTGAAGCTGTCCGCTGAAGAGAGATTTCACTGTATTTGGACTAATGAATTAAGTTTCATCGCTTCTTTTATAACTTTGAGATATATGTCACAATTTTTAGAAATGAAATATACGTAAACATACCATTAGAACACACAAAAATAGATAGTTAATGTTAAAAGTATCTAATGGTTGTTTACGTTATACGTGGAAGCACTACTATCTACATGTGTGAAGTTTGCTCACAAGGAGATATAGGTAAGCAAAATTCTATGGCCACACGAGTACGATAATAATGCGTTAGTCCACGTAAAACATACAGAATGTTATCTGCAATAAAATTTAAATAAATGAAAAATATATTTGTGTTTGAAATAATTGTACAACAATCACTCATTTGAGTGGGATAGGTTAAATTTATCCCGATGTTGTAGACAGAAACGGTTTTTAAACTTTTTTTTATTTATCAACACAGGGGGACGTCTGATTCATTTAGTACGTATCTGTATCTAAGTAAGTTTGCTAATTATTTATATATAAAAAAATAACATTTTCGTTTTAGATCAGCCATACATGATTTCACAGATAACGGTTAGGCTGCAATTTTACAAATCCATATCTAGTATAGAAACTGTTAACAACATTGAACATTTGGAAATAGTTAAACGTCCAATAAACGAAAACGTACTTCTCCGTTTTAACGAAAGAGTAGTCAATTTGATTAGAATTACTGGCCAACTTTCTCCTAATAAGGTAAGTTGCACCCTTTTGTTAACAGTTCTAATTACTGCCTATTCAACAGACAAAGGACCACGTCGAACAGATTTTGGAAGATTTTGAATGTTTCTAATTGCAATACGAACAAAATATGTAAACTTCTCTAGTAAATTTGTTACCATCCCAACACTTTTTTCATAAACTACACATCCTCAAAAAAAATTTAGCACTAAAGGACTCATAGTGAATGTCGGAGTCTACACTTGCCGCCTTTTCTAAGCAAAAACTGAATAATCGAAATAATAATTTCCCGATAATGTCAAAAAAAAAAAAATCAACCACTGAAATTAGCGAAATCATTAACTATTTGTTAATTCTAAAAAGTATGGGCTCATTGGTGGAATGAAAATCGGTATATTGTACATTCTACATAGGATTAATCGAGCAAAAGTTTGAAATTATATGAAGCTTCATGAAGTTAGGTAAGGTATTAAAATTTAAAGCTTGTACATATATCGTTTTTGTTTGGAACAAAAAAAGATTTAATCGGTAGTTTTGTATCCCAGTGATTGGTTAATTCGTTGTGCGTAAAAACGGAACGAAAATTTAGATCTCGCGAAAACGAAAATACTAAAATTAATAAACATCGTGTCATTCATGTCTTAAAATTATTTTTGGCGAAAAATTATTTAACACAGACCATTGTCATGCTTCATATTTAATGATGTCTATAATTGAGTGCTATTTAAATATACCTTCGTTCCTTATACGTGATTGCAGGTTGGTTTTTGCTAAACCGCTATCTATTTTATTTAATCTTTCTATAAAAACTTGTACTTTTCCGAGTCTCTGGAAACGTGCCCGTATTTCTCCTGTGTTCAAAAATGGTGATAAATCATGCATTCCAAATTATAGACCAGTATGTATTTTGTCCAATTTTGGAAAAGTTTTCGAAAAGTTTCTTTATCAGGTGATTTACAATAAAGTGAAGAGTTACATTTCGCCTTACCAACATGGATTTGTCTCTGGAAGATCAACTGACACCAATCTTTCAACCATTGCACAATATCTAGCCGAGGAGGTTGATAACCGTGGAAGAGTGGATGTAATTTATACCGACTTATCGAAAGCTTTTGATAAGATTCAACATAACATTCTAATACAGAAGCTTAATAACTTTGGTTTGAACACCGATGCTTTAGCTTTAATTGAGTCTTATTTAAGTAGCAGAGTTTGTTATGTTTACTACAATGGTTTTACTTCTAGAGAATTTATTGCTACATCAGGGGTTCCCCAAGGATCCCATCTCGGTCCATTATTATTTGTTTTATTCATAAATGACTTGCTGCTTTCACTATCTTGTCCAGTCTTAGCTTATGCTGATGACATTAAATTATATATGTCAATCAATTCTTACAACGAAGTTCTTTTATTGCAAAGTAACTTAAACGTATTGACACAATGGTGTATGACCCATAAACTCATTCTTAATAAGCAAAAATGCTTTTTCGTTACTTTCACCAGAACTCATTCTCCTTTACCGACGCAGTATATGATTGACGGTTATCTCCTTGATAAGAAGGATTGTATGAAAGATCTTGGTGTTGTTTTTGATTCAACGTTGACATTTGTTGAGCACCTTAATTGTGTTTGCTCTTCTGCGTCTAAGTCCTTGGGGTTTGTCATGCGCACTTGTCGCAACTTTAGTGACTTAAACTTAATGAAGCAGCTTGTGGCGGCACAATAACACGCGGGTAAAGCAGAGTAAAGATAAGTTGTCTTGTGGTGTAGCGGTTAGCATACCAGCCCGGATTGCTTGGAGACGTGGGTTCGAATCCCACCGAGGCACAACATTTTTCTCTGCTTTCCCACATTGGTGACCACCGACAGGCAACGCGCACGCAACATCCTTCTGCCACCGCCCTGTGCCCGCTGTGTTCGGGGTCCGCAGCACCGCCAGGGTTCGAACGACGAACGTAAGAGTGGCAGGAGCGACGCCAGCAACTATCTCCTTCGCACCCCAGCACGACCGCGCGCTGTGTCGCTGGGGGGGGGAGTACTGTGGCGGCACAATAACACGCGGGTAAAGCAGAGTAAAGATAAGTTGTCTTGTGGTGTAGCGGTTAGCATACCAGCCCGGATTGCTTGGAGACGTGGGTTCGAATCCCACCGAGGCACAACATTTTTCTCTGCTTTCCCACAAGCTCTTTTATTCCTATGTTTTAAGTAAAATGGAATATGGCATACTAGTATGGAGCCCCATATATGCATCTCACGCACTCATGTTAGACAAAATTTATCGTCGTTTCTTGAAGTACTTATCGTACAGAATCGATGGGGCTTATCCAGAAAGAGGAACTAGTTCAGTTGAACTGCTTGAACGTCATCATTTGCCGTCATTAGGAGAAAGAAGAACTCAACGTGCTGCATTATTTTTGTCTAAACTAGTGCATTATCAAATTGGCTGCGAATTTCTTTTGAGCAAGGTACCTTTCAATGTTCCTCGTCTTACGTCACGATCGGCATCCAATTTCCGCTTACCAACTCCACGTACAAATGTACTGCGCAGAGCACCGATATTTATTATGTGTAAAGCTGCTGATGTTATATATGATGACTTGTTTGTTTAAATAGATGTTATATTTTGTTATATGTTTGTCCTATAATAGGTTACTGTTGGACAAATAAAGATTACTATTATTATTATTATTATTATTAATATTATTATTATTATATACCAATAAAGTATTCATGCAAAAAACAGTGTAATAGTTCTGCCGAGTCTGTCAGAAACATCTATTAAAAACTTATTCATTTCAAAGGTCAGTCCGGATTTTTTTAAACAAATTTTCCTTAAATACATCATTTTTGGTGATTATATTTTTGCGTTAAACTCGGTATATATATATTTTTTTTTAGAGTAGGTATAAATTTATCAATTCCAAAAGTCCATTGTTTCCAAAAGTTAAGTTGTATAAAAAAGGTTTCAGTTTTATAACAATTCTTAATCCTATTTTTTAAATTACATATTTGTGAAAGACTATTCTTTTAGTTGTTTTTTTATTGTTGTAATTATTATGTGTACAATGAAATTTAAGTAGTAATTATGTTCATTATGCCGTATAAAAAATAAAATGTTGACATTTTGTTCTTCATACACTGTCTACGATTGTTAATAACTTTATTATTATTGTTATTACTACTACTATTTTTCCTGTGGGTTGAGCTACCTATCAGGCGCGTCCCCAGGGTTGCGGATAGGGGGAGACCGGCATTGTCTGGGGAGGGGGGTCTGGGGAGGGCGGATATGCCCCTCGGAACTAAACACTCCTGGGGGTGGTGGAAGTCCGACCTGGATTTTCTCTTCTCCAGATATGTAGGTTAGGGCTGAGGCTCGTCTTGCCTGGACATGCCTTGGTGGTTGTCGGCTTAGACGGCCGCGAAGGCGGTTCAGTAGAGGAGGGCTGGAAATAAACGTGCCCCCCCGGGATTAAACCCCTGGCGTGGGGTCGTCAAAACAGCCCCGCGGACAAGCTCCCGCGTGTTTGTGCCGTGCGTGGAGACCCGTAAGGTGGGATGAAGGAATCCTGGAGGTTGAGCCCCCCTTGGTGCAGTGTGTCACCAAGGCTGGGCAACACGCCTCTTTGGCCTGGATTTCCACCAAAACGGGAGGTCGAGACTAACCCATCTCAGATCAATCGGCTGTGTCGTCGGGTCAGACCGCCGACAGGGTGAGTCCTTGGGGGAAGTGTAGTCTGAGCACGAGTAACCTCACTAGTTGAGGCTGCGTACTGCAGGATGAGCTTCCCTGGGGGCTATATCCTTCTGCTAGCCCTGACGTCGAAGTTCGACGTCCCCTTGTTGGACTCCGTGGTGGGTGGGGAAGCAGAAGGACGAAATTAAAATCCAGATCTATGGAGAATAACAACAAAAAAAAACCACTGAGGAAGTGCCTTCGGGTGCACCTCAAACAGAAAACCCAGCCAATGTGGGGTCGCAGCCTCCTAGGAGGAAGCGAATCTGCGGGGCTGAGGTAAAAAGGCGGAGGAAGGCTCGTTTGCAGGCGGAGGCGGCGAATACCGACCCGCCGAAACCGGGTCCATCCTCCTCCGGGATAAACCCCAAGGGTAAAGGGCAGGCTACGATAGCCAACCCTAAACAACCCGTGGGGAAAAATACCTCAGGGTCAAAGAAAAGAGTGAGGTCTTCAACCTCCACACCTCCGGCAGCTGAAAAGCAAAAGAGGATGAGGAGGCAGGAGACTACCTCTAGAGAACAGAGCTACAGGGAGGCGGCTGCAAGTCATCTCCGTGTAGCTGTGATTGATGTGCAGCATCCACTTGGTAAGCTGACTGCTGACCAGGTGGAGATAGTACAAAAGGGCCTGATGGGAGCGCTGGACAGGCAACTTGACCAGTGCTTGGCATCGGGTAGACAAGCAGCCACTTTCAGGGGCATGAAGTACACAGGGGAAATCCTAAGGATAACCTGTGAAGACGAGTTGTCCCTGAAATGGCTACAACAAACAGTGCGCTCCCTAACACCCTTGTGGGAGGGCGCACAACTTAGCGTGGTCCCCTTGGCTGAGCTACCAAGGCTGGTGAGGGCGACCCTGTGGATACCGGGACCACCGGTGGATGCAGGAGTCGTACTTCGCCGCCTGGAGGGTCAGAACCAATGGGCCCACGTCAAAAAATGGCTTCTTTTCCATCGCGAGGCCAAACCCGAGGCTGCCTCTCCGGGCAACCTCTT